ACTGACATCTCGTATCTAAATTATATATATGCGTAATTGTAAAAGTACAAAACACAACACACTTCATGAAATATTCGTGAAAAAAAAAATTGGTCTCTCTAAACCATCAATGACATGTAATAATGCGCCTCCGACACCTTTATTTGATGCATTAACAGCAAGAATTATCTCCAAATTATTGTTAAAACACACTAAAATTGCTTCCTCACCAATATTTCTCTTTAAATTTTCAAAAGCACTTCTTTGTTCAATTTTCCACTCAAAATTAACACCTATTTTAATAAGTCATATAATGGAGCTGCTATTTTTCAAAATTATCCACAAATCTATGATAATAATTTATCATGCCCATAAAAGATTGTACTTCAGCTTTATTACTAGGCTGTTTTTGTTTAAAATATTTTTTAAATTTTTATCAAGTGGTTTCACTTCAATTCCATTAATTTGATGACCCAAATATACTAATTCAGTGACACCAAGAATGCTTTTCTCTTTACTAGCTTTTAAATCTTTATCTTGAATTCTCTTGAAAACCTCTTCAAGACGTTGATTATGCTGTTCTGGCGTCACTCCAGTTATCAACACATCATCCATATAATAAAATACACCTTCCAAACCCTGAAAAACTGATGCCATCGTTCTCTGAAAAATCGGTGCAGATACACTTAACCCAAAAGGTAATCTACAAAACGCAAATAATCCTTTAGGCGTTGTTATTGTCAACAATTTACGAATTTCTTCTTTCAAAGGCAATTGTAAATATGCTGATGAAAAGTTAACTTTTGAAAAATATTTGGCTCCCTTTAAATTTGCCAAAATTTCTTCAATTCGAGGTAATGGATATTTCACTTCCACAACCCATTTGTTAAGTGTTACTCGAAAATCTGCACATAATCTAAGTTTTCCATTAGATTTTTTAACATGTACTAATGGTGTAGCCCATTCACTATATTCCACAGGAATAATAATACCATCATTCTAATTCTTCGTTGATTTCCTTTTTCCACTCAAAAGGAACTCTACGACATGCTAAGAAAATAGGTGAAAATCCCTCTTTTAATTTTAAATCCACTTGATAATCATTTAGACATCCCAAAGTGTCTTCAAAAATTATATAATATAACTAAAATAGGTATAGCGTTTTCAACTCTATTTAATTCATTAATTTCATTATTAATTTTTTTATCATTATCAACTTCACTATTGATTTTATATTGATTTGAATCTATTATTAATTTAGCGGGATATTCACAAATATTATTATTAACTATAGATTCTTTCACTTCACTCATTAATTTATTCATTTCCTTTTCTTTAAGCTTTTCCCTGACTTCATTAGTCATTATTTTTCTTTCGGCATTATCTCTAGCCAATTCGTTATCAATTATAAATAAATCCCAATAATTATTTCCAGGTCCAAGTTTGCTAATCCAATCCCAACCCATAATTGTCTCAACATTTTTTTTACTATCCATAAATCTAAAATAATGCGAGTACCATGGAAAAGAACATCCACTTAGTTTTACCCAAAACTTGGATTTCAGATCCATCAAATTGTTTTATACACATATTTTGTCTCTCGACAATACCATTTGGCCAATATTTATAAAAATTTTCATTAGACATTATTGATATACTTGCTCCAGTATCAAATAACATTTCAATATGTCCATCAATTTTCAAATTTATATGAGGACATGAACCTTGTTCAATTGTTCCCTCATCACTTAACTTTTCAATTACTTTCATTGGCTGAATAGTATTTATTATAATCGAATTTCCACTATAATTAACATTCATACCTAAATTCATCTCAGAATTTAAAGGTCTCTGAATCTCATTTATGTTTTTATTAAAAATCTCTCCTGGATATTTCTCACTTGTTTGATTACAATAATCCTTTTTATTCAGATTATTGGTTAATTTATATTTTTTTATTTCATCAAAATGACAATAAAAATTTCCTACATTACAACTCTTTTTATTCGAGTTAAATTTCAATGTATAATCATCATCCCCATGATGATTATCTATTTTATTATATATAACCACCAAATTTTTAATAAAACTATATATATCAAAATATTTATTATTCTCTAAATATGATTTTTCTATTTTTATATGATTCTCTTTCAAATCATATAGTCACTGTGACCCACTCACACTTTGGATACAATGTATGGCAATGTCCATTTCTTCACATTTGAAACACATTCTATCATGGTCTGTATTGTAAGTTTTAGTTTTAGCCACATTTATAATCGGAGGATTTTGTATACTTCGAACTACTGAATTTATCACTACCGATGTTCGTTGAAGAAATCCACTTTTGAAATTGGCTTCTTTCACCATGCAATTTCGTTTTATAGGTCCCACAAAACCACATCGATAACACACCATGTCATTTTTTTCCCTTGTTTTAACAGTGACATTATCATTAGTTTTTCGGTCTCTTGCATAGCAATTTTTACCAACATGTCCTTTTCTTCCACAGATTTCACAACTTTCAAATATATTATTATTTTTAATTTTTAATTTGGAAACATCTCTGGACAAATTTTTCATATTTTCTCTCATTTCTCTAATTTCACGTAAAATTAGAGATTCCTCTGTACTTTGTCTCAAAGTATTATTGGTATTATTTGTATTATTATTTTTCAAAATTTCTACTGGTTTCTCGATTAAAACCTCAGAAATTTGCTTTTTAAATTCTATCACAATTGAATTGAATTTTTTATTTATATCCTCCGATATGTCAATATTTTGAGGAAAATTAAATACTTCACCCGTATCTAATATTTTCTCGGATTTTTCTTCCAGTATAACATTTTTTTTACCATTTAAATTTTTCAATTCTAACAAAATTAAATGTAAACTATTTTTGATATCTTCAGAAATATCTGGAGATTTCACCAAAACTTTAGGAATTAAATTTTCGGCATTTGTATTTTTTATATCATTTTCTCTATTTTTAAGAGATATCCTTTTTATTTTCCTTATTCCTTGTTTCATTATAATTAAGATTACATAAAACACAAAAAAAATTACTGCAGTAATGACATTATTGGTCACATCCACTTTATTAAAGTTTGAATTAAAAATTTTATTAAAATGATCCTTATAACTCGACATTTTATCAAAATTAGGCTTCCTATGCCCAGTAATAAAAGAATAACCCATGATTTCATAAATTTATATTAAAAATAAAAAAAATTTTTAAAACTCTAAAAAAATTAAATTTTAAAATTATTGCGTTGTGTAAATTAAAATCAAATAAAAACAAAATTTCTTACCTTTAAATATCCGGAATCCACTATTATTTAGAAACCCGGTCCTCGAAAATCTTTTTCTTGATTAATAACGTCTGAAATTTATTTTAATAAAACACTCTTTTGTTTTATTTTTTCCTCTAAATATCTTAATTTTATATTTTTCTCTAACTTATTTTTTCCCTAATAAGTGTTCACAAATCCTGGTCGTTCGGTACCATTAAAATATTACTTATTTTATTACTCAATTAACTTAATTTTCACTATTAAGATTTATACAATTTCACTATGAATATTTATATTTATTCATTATTTCTGGTATATCAGTTTATTCACAATAATTCAATCCAAATATCAACTTTTAGTACAAATAAAAATATATTTCACAATAATTTAATAATTCAATTAATAGCGAATCTATTTTTTTCTTTCTTTTAAATTATATCACTCCGCGATTAAAATCAACAAAAATTAATAACTGTTTTTTTAATCAATATCTATAATTTTTCTAAATATAAAATTATTCAACTGATTGGCATTTATCAATCATTAAAAAATAATATCTTAAATATATATGAAATATACGAAATATATATGAAATATACCTCAATATATAAACCCTTTTAATACATTGGGAATATAATCAAAAATGTGTTTGAAATAATGCAGAGCATCCATAGCATTTTTTGGGACTATAACAACCATAGTTAATATAGTTATTCAGCTAATAAGACATCATAAGATACTTTAACATCTTCATGATAAATCTAACAAATATTTTTTTAACACCATCTGAAAAAGGTTGGGAAGGCTTTTGTGGAAGTAATATTTACAGATTGGTAAGTGCTGCATGATAAATTAAAAACCATTCATTTATTTGGGTTATAAATGTATCTTTATCTCAGATATATTCGTCTACTGATCCTAATCAGGGTTGCTAGTCAAAATTTTTAAATTGCGGGAGAAATTTAGTATTATGCGGGAGAAATATGAAAATTGTGGTAGAAATATAAAAATTTCTAAATAGTTCCGACTAGAAGTCTGCATCAATGTTTAAAAAAAAATTTAACCTGTCCGCCCATAGTTTTCAAAAAATATATACCCGCCCGACCCGCCCATGTGTCTAAAATTCCTTACCCGCCCGCCCGCTCGCCCATTAGTCTAAATTTTTTTTAACCCGCCCCCCCGTCTGCCCATTTTCGAAAAATTTTTTGAATTTTCTTTTAATTTATCTACTTCTTCTTTAGAAAGAAATAGGTCGATTTGGGTTAATATTCTTATGAAAATAGAAAACGATTGAAGATCTAAGACATCAGGAAAATTGATTAAAAAATATTAAAGAAAATAATAATAATGAATATGAATCAGAACAAGAATCTGCTACGGATAGCTAAATGTTAGTTATTTAATGACAATGAATTTAAAAAATTAATAATATCGATTCATTTTACTATTATATTCAAAATAAAGTTAATATATCATTTCCCCAGGCCAAATACTCTGATATCCATTATATCCAATTACCGAAATGGTGGCTCCAGTATCAAACAACATGGGTACCATTCTTCCCCCCAAATTTATCATCACTCTTGGACAGGGATCATGTACTAGACCCTCTTGTAACATATTTACACACCCCTCCCCATTTATTTCTTCCTGATTATCCTGCTCCTCTGTCCATTTTAACCTCTGCGCCTCGACCGGTCCTGCCGATTTTTTGCCATCATATAGTCACAAATTTTTACAGTCCATCGCCACATGTCCATTCTGTCGGCACCAAAAACATTCCATATTTTTTTCCTCCACATTTTCGATATTTACTACCCTAACCCCCTCCGTTTTTTCCCGCTCAATTGTCCTCACATTTGAAGCACTGGAACCAACTTCTCTTTGTGGAAAACCGCTTTTATTAATGTAATTGCTCGTATTGCACTCCCATTTATTGTGCCCAAATCGACCACAACCCGCGCATCTTAATCTCTCTTGCTTATTTGGACAATACGGAGCTATATGTCCTAACTTCCCACACCCAAAACATTTTGCCTCGCGGCATTCTCTGAGCATATGACCTGGTTTACCACAATTATAACAACTCATTACTCCCTTTTCACGCGGCACAAAATTTTGTCTTATTTCTAATCTTCTTCCCCGAGAATTCTCTCTGGGCTCTCTATACGGTCGTAACTCTTGATTACTTTCGAAATAACGTTTATCAGAACTATATAAATCTCTACTAACATCACTATCCGTCCATCCCTTAATTAATTCCTGAACAGGTAGCCACGTAACTTTACCCATCATATCCTCCTCCCCATTATGCCCCTCAATTGTTAATGTTTGTCCCCTTATTCTTACACTGCGACTCCTTCTCAATCTCCTGCCCCAGACTAGACTACATACCCATATTAATAGTATAACCAGCGCTCCCAAAATGTTATATTGTATCTCCCAGTATTTAATAAATTTTAAACTTTTCATTCCGGCGTTACAAAAAATTTATAAATAATTTCAGGATATAAATCTTAGTTATCTGTAATGTTAGCAAATAGGATATTATTAATAGCGTAAATAAGCCAATTATGCACATATACATGCACACTTTATATGCTAATATTTGACAAAATCTGTATAAATTTCTTGTAACAGTTTTATATCAACTAAATTTTTGGGCAGCACTCCCGTGTAACCGCTTATTATATTAAAAATTTGCGCGAATTTTAACTAATAGATTTATCTATGCCAAAATTTGGGCAGCACTTCCGTGTAATAGATGCTTTTGGTAAAATTTCTGATAAGCCAAAGTCTCAACTTAACAACTAGGTAATAGTAAACCTCCGCCTAACAGGTAATTAATTATTCCAATTAAACTTCTGTCCCACGGGTATCAAAATAACTTCCGTCCACAGGTAATTTATACTGTCCACGGGTATACCTAACTAATTTTCAAAAATAACTTCCGTCCACAGATAATTTATACTGTCCACGGGTATACCTAACTAATTTTCAAAAATAACTTCCGTCCACAGATAATTTATACTGTCCACGGGTATACCTAACTAATTTTCAAAAATAAATTCCGTCCACAGATAATTTATACTGTCCACGGGTATACCTAACTAATTTTCAAAAATAACTTCCGTCCACAGATAATTTATACTGTCCACGGGTATACCTAACTAATTTTCAAAAATAACTTCCGTCCACAGATAATTTATACTGTCCACGGGTATAACTAACTAATTTTCAAAAATAACTTCCGTCCACAGATAATTTATACTGTCCACGGGTATACCTAACTAATTTTCAAAAATAAATTCCGTCCACAGATAATTTATACTGTCCACGGGTATACCTAACTAATTTTCAAAAATAACTTCCGTCCACAGATAATTTATACTGTCCACGGGTATACCTAACTAATTTTCAAAAATAACTTCCGTCCACAGGTAATTTATACTGTCCACGGGTATACCTAACTAATTTTCAAAAATAACTTCCGTCCACAGATAATTTATACTGTCCACGGGTATACCTAACTAATTTTCAAAAATAACTTCCGTCCACAGATAATTTATACTGTCCACGGGTATACCTAACTAATTTTCAAAAATAACTTCCGTCCACAGATAATTTATACTGTCCACGGGTATACCTAACTAATTTTCAAAAATAACTTCCGTCCACAGATAATTTATACTGTCCACGGGTATACCTAACTAATTTTCAAAAATAACTTCCGTCCACAGATAATTTATACTGTCTACGGGTATACCTAACTAATTTTCAAAAATAACTTCCGTCCACAGGTAATTTATACTGTCCACGGGTATACCTAACTAATTTTCAAAAATAACTTCCGTCCACAGATAATTTATACTGTCTACGGGTATACCTAACTAATTTTCAAAAATAACTTCCGTCCACAGATAATTTATACTGTCCACGGGTATACCTAACTAATTTTCAAAAATAACTTCCGTCCACAGATAATTTATACTGTCCATGGGTATACCTAACTAATTTTCAAAAATATATTCCGTCCACAGATAATTTATACTGTCCACGGGTATACCTAACTAATTTTCAAAAATAACTTCCGTCCACAGGTAATTTATACTGTCCACGGGTATACCTAACTAATTTTCAAAAATAACTTCCGTCCACAGATAATTTATACTGTCTACGGGTATACCTAACTAATTTTCAAATATTTTCTATCCACAGGTAATTTATACTGTCCACGGGTATACCTAACTAAATTTTCCAAATATCTTCCGTCCACACGTAATTTATACTGTCCACGGGTATAACCTAAATAATTTCAAAAATAACAAGACTCGTCTTGGCCACCACTTTTATATTTCTACTTGTAATAGAAATATTTCTGATGAAATGGTTCGGTTGCACTTATTTTATTTTTATTTTAATCTTTACAAATAAATATATTTATTGTTTTTTTGTCTTACTTGAAATTCTTCATTTTTTTAAAAACACACTCCAATTTTTCTTTTTTAATAACTAAATTTCTCCAAAACAACAAAAAAAAATTAACAACCAATTTTCTTCCAAAAACCAACAACGAAAAAATTTTCAAAAACCCGATAACTAACTTTTTATTATTTTTTTTTCTTTATATTCACTACACAAAATTTAAAAAAATAATAATAAATAACAATAATAATAATAATATGCCATCAAAGTCTAAGAATAATCTATTCGCGAAATAATATAATATCGAAATTAAAAGAATAATAATAACAATAATAATAATAATATTCCGTCAAAGTCTAATAATAATCTATTCGCGAAATAATATAATATCTAAATTGAAAGAATAATAATAACAATCATATATTAAATTATACTAATCCTATTTTAAAATAACCAACTATAATAACTCCTTCTAATGACCACATTATAACTTAATATCCCCCCACATCACAGAAATGTGTAGAGGCTTATAAATTATTGGAAGGTAGACCTACCCGTTGCAAAGGACGATGCCACACATTAAATGAAGAGGTAATTCTTCATATTGATAAACATAATCATGTGATAGATGGTATAGAGGTCTTAAAAACCGAATGCCTAAATAACATTAAAAAACGGGCTATTGAGGTGACTGATACACCTCAAAAAATTATAAGCATTGCAATAGCAGAGGGTTCCCCATCCCTTCATGCTGCCCTTCCGCCCATCACGTCAATAAAACGAACCATCTAGCGAGCTAGATCGCTCATGGGTTCTCAATTAACTACCCCGACAAACAGTTATGATCTAGATTTACCTGATATCTATAGAAAAACATGTTCGGGGTTGCCATTCCTTCAATATGATAGCAAGCATTTGCTACCGGAACTACCAAGAATTTTGATATTCGCCACTGCCCAAAACCTTAGATTGATGGCGGAAAGCAGTCACTGGTATGCAGATGGCACGTTTAAGACAACCCCTTTAATTTTTTACCAACTTTGGACCCTCCATGTCCTATATAATAAAACAGTTATACCCACAATTTGCGCTATTACCGAATAAAACCACATTACATATATAAGGGTCTTGGATGAGATAAAAAGATTACAAAACAATGTAAGTACTATATAGGTAATGATCGATTTTGAGCAGGCTGAAATAAATACCTTTACACATTCATTTCCATCGATAACAGTAAGAAGCTGTTTTTTTCATATGACTCAAGCAATTTGGAGGCACATCCAAAGTGATAGCGAATTATTATCTCATTATTTAGATAGAGATGCGGGAAGTGATTGGTCTATAAAAATTAGACAATGGTGTCACTTGCATTTGTTCCCGTGGAGGACGTTTGATGCCTTTTATGGGCTATTACACACAAAATTCTATCAAGACAATGAAAGTGTCTTGGACAAACTTATAACATATTACGAAGCCACCTGGATTGGCAAGATTCTTCGTAATGGAGATAGACAAGAACCAAGATTTCCAATTCCCCTTTGGAATCAATACGCTGCTATATTGGAGGGAATCCCAAAGACAAATAATGCAGTTGAAGGTAATTTTTTTAAAAAAATTTGCTATCTTTTTAATCATTATTACACAATATTTTTTATAATTTACTTTGCAATTATTTTCTAAAGGTTGGCACAGAGCATTCTCATCTCTGCTATCATCGCACCATCACTCTATTTGGAAATTTTTAGATGCTCTACGTTTAGAACAATCGTTAACCGAAGCAAAAATTGAACAATATATTTCTGGTACGCAACCCCCGAGATCAAGAAAGGTGTATCGGGATACAGCTGAAAATATTATATTAATTGTATCTGACTATGTAAATCGCCCGATTAATGATTATTTAAGAGGGATCGCATATAATTTTAATTTACAAACAAATTAATGTTATCTATTTTTTTTAAATGTTCTTTTAAACATATTTTTGGCATGTTTTATATAGTATATTTGTATTTTCTATAGTCATTTTATATATAAATAAAAAAATTGTGCGTTAATTCGTTTTTGATTATTTTATAATAGAAAAAATTAGTTAAACATAATATATATTTAAAATGATTAATAGAATTATTTTAAGGAATTTTAATAAATCTAAAAAATGAATCAGTCTTAATTTGAATTTTATTGGATCAACATTAGTGTCGTTAAACGTCCGATTTGGGTCGATTAAGATTTTAGCCATAATAACATGTAAGATTAGAGATAGAAGTCCAAACTTTTCTTACATTTAGCGCAAAATCTCACTTACATAATATTGGCTACTAATCAAAATAGGGGAGACTGGGGTTAGGTACCTGGGCTTGGCAAACCACTTAATCTCATCTTAAAATTAAACATACCAGAAGGTTAAAATTTTATCATAATATAGTTTTTATTAGTTTACGTCTATAGACAAAAAATCTTTTGAAATAATTATTAAAAATTTTATTTAAGAAATAAAATATTGATGAAGTTTTTATAATTTGGGAAAGTTTTATGAGTATTTATTATATCCAGAAATTTATAGTTAGAAGGGCTTGCTAAACCATACACGTCAATTATGGCAGGTAATAATGAAAAAAATACAAAATGTTTATCGAGATAAAGGTTCACGCAAAATCTCCAGGCTTACATAATATTGCCTACTAATCAGGGGTTTGGCAAACCACTTAATCTCTTCTTAAAATTAATTACAACAGAATGTTAAAATTTTATTATAATATAGTTTTATTAGTTTACGTCTATAAACAAAAAATCTTTTGAAATAATTATTAAAAATTTTATTTAAGAAATAAAATATTGATAAAATTTTCAAAAGATTTTTACATGACAGAAATTTTATTAAAATATATAATCATTCATATGTAAATTAAATTTTATAGCAAAGTTTAAACACTCTTCTATAATTTGGGAAAGTTTTATGAGTTTATTATATCTAAAAATTTAGAGCTAGCAGGGCTTGCTAAACCATACACGTCAATTATGGCAGGTAATAATGAAAAAAATAC